AAGTTAATGATTTATGAGAGTAAGCCAAGCTCTAGAAGCCAGAAGGAAAATTCAATTCAGAAGTCAAAATACTGGTTTATATTAGTAATGAATTCTAATAATTTATTCAAAGAAAACTACATAACAAGCTCAAATGAACCATTTTCCTGTTTTGTACTGCTTGATTTTACCTTGTTAGGGAAAGACACAAGATTTAAATGGAGTCCTAAGATTCTGAATGCAAAGCTTGTTATGTACTCTTTGTATTGATTATGAATGGGTACCATCTGATCCCAAGAAACAGCTTAATAATGTGGCTTAAATGATCAAGAGAATTTTGAAAAATAAAAAAATAAGCCCTCTGTTTGATATAATGAAATTTAACTGCCAGTTGGCTCAAATGATAATTAGTAATCAAGAGAGCATTGTATTTTTATTTCAATATATTGAACAAAAATTCCATTTTTTAAAAGCCTAATTGGCAATTTATGTCTATGGTAAGATGAATTTCCCTAAAATCTTTGACCTGTCTTATTCAGATTTATCTTAGTTGGGTCAGCCACTAGCCATTGTGAGATCCAAGGTAAAGAAGTTGACTGGAGTGAACCTTTCCCACTATGCGTAAGTAAGTAAAGATTTTTTTTCTGACTTGACTTCAAACCTAAGCCATATTAAGTAATAACACTTCTGTGCAATTAGAATTAGAATTTGCATGAATTTTAGATGTGTAACAATGCCATCCCTGATTATTTTTCTCTTCACTCTGTCATCTCAGTTGTCAAGTGCGAGTCCCCTCCACACATCAGCAATGGGAAGCACAATGGTGGAGATGAAGAGATCTACACATATGGGTCTTCAGTCACCTACACCTGTGACCCCAACTTCTCACTCTTAGGCGAAGCCTCCATTTCCTGCACAGTGGAGAATAAAACAATAGGTGTCTGGAGCCCAAGCCCTCCTACCTGTGAAAGTAAGTCATAAGGATGAAATCTTTGAATTTTTCCCTTTTGTTTAAAAGAAAAAGGAGGGTGTGTATATTGGGGGAAATGGAATGATTCAAAGACAAACTAATCATTGCAATAATGAAGTCATTCATATGTTCAACCAATCTCACTACATGCTGAATCAGTCAGGATAGCATAGACTGTGCTGTGGTCATAATCAACACCAAAAGCTCAAAGCCTTTTTATAGTAAAAGTTTTTTTCAAGCTCCTTCTTAGTGCACTGATAGCCTGGGAAACTCTCCAGGGAAGCTGCCATTTATATGGTAATCCAGATTATTTAGTTATCCTGACACCTTCATATCAAAATCTAACAATCAGTTCAAGCAGAGGAAGAGAACAAGGAAGGTCAAACCCTAGTTCTCAAGTTTTTTGACCTGAAAGTGACACATGTCACTTGTCATTATAGTCTTTTGGCCAGAACTAGTCCCTTGTTCCTGGCTAGCACAAAGGAACTGGCAAACATAGTCTTCTGTTTATCCTGGAGTAGCTGGAAATATGGGTGGACACTAGTAATGCCAACCATACATGCCTGTGGAGCACACAAAACCATACCAACATCAGCAGGTTAGTAGTAAAAGACAACCGAAGAAAGTAACTTCCCCCAACCTCTCTAGGGAAACCAGAGAGATGTTGTTATGTCACTATCAGTAATGACTCAGCCAGCTGGTCTAGGACATCTTTCTTTACTACAATTAAGGTGCCTTTAAAAACACAGTATCATTTACAGTTGTGACTCAGTACATGGACACAGCCAACGCTGGAGCAAGAGAGAGCATAATAGTGAAAAGAGTTAAAAATGTCTGGAGTCAGGACTGCATACTAACAGTAGAAAAGGCAGGAGCTGAGGCTGGATAGGTTAGCAAAGGTCAGGTTATGAAGGTCCTTGTGTGTCACTCTCAAGAGTTCAGAATGAAGGCAAAAGGGAGACATTGAAAGGGTAACAATTTGAAGTGAGACAAAATATAACTGACAGGTACCTGTTGCAAACATCCAGCTGAGAAGTGAAGGCAGCTTCAAAGGTAGCCATGGCAATGGGCCTGGAGAGAAGCGGAGAGGAGGGTGGCAGGATTGACAGGACTTGATGACTGGCTGGATGTGGGGTGGAGGCTGGGGGCAGATTGTTTTCTGCTTGTGGGGGTGCAGGTCTCTGATGCCCTGGCTACCTCTTCATGACCACCATTCCATTACCATGGGCCACTGACCCACAACCAAAATTATCCAGGAAGTTAAGCCATTATCATGGAACAATTTGGAAACTTTGAGATTCAGGCTTCAGGGTTTAGATATTGCTAGTTTTTATTGATAAGAAATTTGGAGGACTTTATCCACAACAACCAACATGATGGGACCTCATTTTGCTGATGTTCCTAGGGACCGAAAGGGTGTGTGTGTGTGTGTGTGTGTGTGTGTGTGTGTGTATCTTTTTAACAGATATATATGTAAATATATATCATTACATAAAATCTATATATTTTATATCTTTAAAAGTTTTCTTTGTACCTACTTGATAAACTCATATATTTGTTCAGGCCTTCTTTGCAGCTATACCAACAATTGCAGTCACTTCTTTACTGCTATTTCTCTTTTATAACTCAGATGTCTTTTCCTATGTTTCTTTAGAAATTGTCTGTCACCAGCCACACATTCCAAAGGGATTTTTTATCTCTGGATTCAGATCCTTCTATACATACAAAAACTCTGTTGTGATTAACTGCAGGAAAGGCTATGCCCTCGTAGGCAGCAGTGGAATCCACTGTGAGGCTGATAGCAAGTGCTATCCTTTTATTCCCTCTTGTGAACCCAGTGAGCATGGACTATCACAGAGTTTCAATATTTGGCATCTAAAGTTATCCAGCAGTATGAATGAACATGCTCAGAGGCACAGATCCACTGTAATCCCAATAATCATTTTAAGTTAAATTAATACTTTTCTCCAGTTTTTCTGTTAGAAGAAAGATTTTCTTTTTAGTAATCTCAATGTTATTTGAAGGATTTTATGTATATCATACAGTCATGACATCAATAACCTCACAGATATCGTAGATTTATATATTTATTACAAAAAAAATCCATTAGTCAATAGTAAAGTGTCTTATACTAACGAAACCAATATATGAGAATTTTGTGAATGATGGAGGTGAAATTCTTTTAATGAAGTTTCTTTTCCTAATTTGCACAGAGGTGCTCTGTGAGCTATGGGCTGATACTGGGCTAATACTGGCCTTGAGACCTTGGTGTTGTTAATAAGTACAGATTACTCATAAAAGTAGTGATACCTATTGTTAACATTTATTTAGAGCTTGCTATATATCAAACACTGTTCTATGTGCTTTAAATCAATTAATTAATTTAATATTTACAATTCTAATAGGTAGTTACTATTTTTAATCCTATCTTAATGATGAGAAATCTGAGAAAGAGAGATTAAGTAATCACTACAAGGTCACATAGTTAATCAGGTGTGGAAGCCACTTGTGCATCGTGGTTCACCTACCCCCTTCTACCATTACAAGAACTTAGATACCATTCAAAATGTTTAGTGATGAAATTCAATAAATAAACAACTTGATCAATCCACAAGGCCCTTTAGCAAATGGTCAAATAGAAAAAAATACAAGACTGAATGAAGACTCAGCTGCAAAAGTTATATAAAGCTTGGTGTGAGACCAAATTGTAAATTTCCAGGTGTCAGTGACATTATGTCAAGGGGATTACCTCTATTTTAACTCCCCATTAGTATGATTTATTCAAAGTTTAGCTTACTTGTTCTTATGCCCAGTTTGAAATTCTTTCCAAGGGAAAAAAAAAATCCCCATTAAGCAAAGAGAGTTGAAAGTTAATCATATCTTTGAGCAAATTTTTGCTGTGTATTCCTGGTGATCCTAATGCTTCCCCTGAAGATCAACCATTCTGAGGTTCAGTGAAGTGAAGGGAAAACTAAGCTCCTGTGCAGTTAGCCCAACACCTAAAGACTGTCCTCTTTCTGTACCATGACATGCTTCTCTGTAACAGCCTCCCCAGTGCCACATGCGTGTAGTGCTTGACACTAGTCTATTGGGTGATGGTGCTGCTGTGTCTTTTCCTGGAATTCCCATTTAAAATTGATTATCTGGTTTCTTGCTGAATAAATATGTGCTATCAGTTTTTTTTGTGTGTGTGACAAGCTCATGGTCAACATGCCATTCCCAGTAACAATTGTGCTTTCTTGATAGATGGTTGTACTGACATACCAGACATTCCCTTTGCTTACTGGGACAGAACTGACCACCACCTAAGGGACCAAAAAATATATAAAATTGGTACTGAATTGAAATTTCAGTGTAAGCCTGGCTATAGCCCTGTTCTAAATGAGCCTCTAACAGTGACTTGTCAGGAAAATTTGATATGGACGCCTTCCAATGAGTGTGAGATTAAGTGAATTTCAACTTTGTTTTCTGTGTGTGTGTATCTTTTCTATTGAAAATGTTGAACACAATCCTTGAAATTTGCCGAGACTTCCTTCATTGCACAGAATCTAGATAATGTTTGTAAATATTCAGTGTACACTTGGAAAGGTGTGCATTTTGCAGTTGTTGGGTACAATGGTGTACATATATCAATTAGATCTAATTTTATAATGGTGTTCAAATCTATGTCCATTTCTATACTGAGTTCTTGTCTCCTTGTTCTATCAGTTACTGAGAAAGGTTTTGTTTGTGAATTTGTCTTTTATCTTTTTAGGTTTTTTATTAAACCATTTTTTGCTTTATATATTTTGAGACTACATTGCTGGATGTATACGAATTTAGAATGTTATGTTTTCCTGGTGAATTTAACCTTTTATCATTATGAAATGACCCTATTTATTACTGTGACTGTTTTATCTTTAAGTTCTACTTTTATGTTAATATAGCTCTGACAGCTTTATTTGAGTTAGTGTTGCATGGTTTATCTTATTTTACTTTTTTACTTTTAAACTTTCTGCAATTTTATATTTTAAGTGTATCTTGGGAGCAGGATATCATTGGATATTTTAATCTTATTTGACAATTTTTATGATTTAAACAGAGCACTTTCTGTACAGTTAATGTAATTATTAATTCATTTGAATTTATATCTATTATCTTACTATTTACTATATTTTCTGCCTGTTTTATATCCTTTTTTCTTGACTTCTTTTGAACTATTTTTTTTTTCAATTTTGTAGCTGGTATTTGCTTGGTATTTATATACTTTTTACTATATATACATATATTTTTTGGTGTTTACAATAAAAATTACAATACACATTCTTGCTTTTTAATCTAATATAGGTTTTGCCTCTTCCCAGGCAACGCAAAGCCATAGAAACCTTGAACTTGATTTAATCCCACTTGACTTATATGCTTTTGTTTTTGTGTATTTCAATCCTACATGTATCTTAAACTCCATATTATTATTATCATTATTATTACTATTGTTATTGTTATTATTGTTTTAAAAAATCAAATTAATTAGATTTGTCCACATAATTGCTATTTTTATTGCTTTTTCTTCTTTCCTGATTCTTCATTCTTATATCTGCTATCACCTCCTTTGTCTGATGAATCCTCTTTAGTGTTCTTTAGTGACAGTCTGCTGATGATGAATTGTCTTTTTTTGTTTGTCTCAATGTGCCTTTGTTTTGCCTTAATATTTAAAGATATATTTGCTGGATGTAAAATTCTAGATTGGCAGTCATTTTCTTTGGCCACATGAAAGATTTCATTCCATTGTCTTCTGCCCTGTTTCTGTGCAGAATTTTGCTGTTGGGCATTTGAAGGTTGTCTGTTTTTTCTGATTGCTTTTAAGAAGTTCTTTTTGTCTTTATTTTTCAGCAGTTTTTCTCAGATATGTCTGGGCTGATTTCTTTGTGTTTATACTGCTTGAGATTCAGAATGCTTCTAGAACCTGAGGTTTGATGCCTTTCATTAATTTGGGAAAAATTCCAACTTTAAATACTTCAATATTTGAAATAAATATTCTCAAATACTATTTCAGCCACCTTCTGGTACTTCAGTTACATTTATGTTAAGCCTTTATACTGAGTTTTCTGCAGTTCCTATGCTAATATCTGGGTTTTTGAACTTTGTGTTTCTCTGTGCTTTTTTGTGAATATAAATAAAGTGCCTTAATTCATCTACGTATAATCTGATGTTAATTATTAATTAATTTTTTACCTTTAATTATTCCATTTTTCAGTTTCAAGATTCCCTTTTGTAGTACTGATTTTTCTACCAAAATTCTTAATGTTATCTTTTGCCTCCTTTTACATATTAAGGCAAAGTTATTTTTATTTTTATTTTATATATTTATTTATTTATTTATTAAAAGATGACCAGTAAGGGGATCTTAACCCTTGACTTGGTGTTATCAGCACCACGTTCTCTCAAGTGAGCCACAGGCAGACCCTGCAAAGTTATTTTTAAATCAATGTTTAGAAGTTCATTTTCTAGATCACCTCAGGGATGTTAGCATTGTCTCTTGCTTTTTAAAGCTTTTGATAACCTCATCTTGTCTCCTGTTAATGATTTGCTTATGGCGGGTGGTAATGGGGACCTGGGGCTCTAAATGACCTGAGTCCAACCGGGGATTGTAATGATACAAAACTGGGCTTCGGTACTAGATAGCTAATCTATTTTTGGATTACCCTGACTACAGAGCATAGTTCTGACGATCCCTCAAGAGGTGGGGTTACCAGCAGTAAACCTCCCACCACATACGCATTGAGTTTTCATCGACCTCCCAGCCCCTCAGCTGTGTTTTCTGGATGTGTGAATATATGCTTCTACAGAGAAAGCAGCTCTAAATTCCAGGCACACCTCAATGGATTTCTTTCTTTCTCATTGAAATATGAACAACTAAGACAATTAAGGTCTTGGTACCTTAATTCTTCAAGGATTACCACAGCCCTCCATGTTTTTCTACTTCTTGTCAAAGGGTAGGTGGGTCTGAATTGTGTGGCCCACGATCACCAAAATCAACACCTCATTTAAACACTTCTAATGAAGAAATATGGTCAAAAGGAAATTAACCAATAGAAATTTCATAAAAGTTCCAGTGACAGAATCTAGAGAAGATGCTTGGTATAACTCTTCCCTCGATTTGTTTGTTTGTTTGTTTCTTTTTTTTTAATTGTGGTGAAAAACTCTTAACATGAGCTCTACCTTTCTGACAAGTTTTCAGTGTATAATATAGTACTGCTAACTATGGGTACTATGTTGCACAGCAGATTTCTAGAACTTATTTGTCTTGCATAACTGAAACTTTATACCAGTTGATCAACTCCTGACCCCACTCTGTTGCCAGCCTCTGGCAACCATCATTCTACTCTTTGCTTCTATGAGTTTGGCTATGGGTATTAACATCTTCTATTAGGAGTCAGGTTTCCAGCTATAGGCATGTACCTCTGATCATTTTATTAAACATGAACATCACTTTTTATGTATCAGGGGTGTGCTGCTCAGTACCAGATCTGGAGAATATCACAATCATACAGGAAACAAAAGATTTCTCTGGTAAATGTGTCTATGCCAATGGAAACTATATTTCATACATATGTGATGAAGGTTATTACCCTGTTTCTACGGGTGGAAAAAGTTCATGCCATGCAGACGGCACGTGGAAGCCTAAAATGCCAGTATGTGAGCCAGGTAAGAATATCGAGAGATCTTGAATTATTTCTCAGATTCCCCAAATGATCCCATTTAGTTCCACAAAAGAGCAACTATTTAAAACCAGGTGAATTTGGAGTTGTTCTTCTGACAAGTATTGTGCAAAGGGGGTCACAGATACAAACCACTAGCACCATGCACGGCAGCTCTAGAACAAAATATATCGGGGAGAAAAAAGCTGACAGAAGTTCTTTTATAAGAGAAAACAGTAGAGTTGATTAAATCCCTCAAAGTCTCATTTTGTTATTTTCCTGCATACATTATCTGCCAGCACTATGTCCAATGTTTTAGTAAAAAGGGACATCACCCCACAAGACTCTCTCTCTATATATATATAAGTTAAGGGAATAAGAATGATTTATGTAATTATGTAACAATGGAAGTTCCCAGGTTGAAGAAGTGACCTTGTTAGAAAGGTGGAGGCTTTGAAGCCTAGTGATGGAGATCAGCACCAGCCTTTTCTTTCCTTGCTCTAACTCAGACCTGCTGAACTACCTCTCTGTTAAAATGTCAAGAGAGAGAAGAAATAAGCATGTAGGGTGATAAAGGTCTGTCTCTAATCAGGACAAGACACTGAAAAGGTCATCATTATGGAGGTATCTTCATTGTGAAGGATTCTTCACATCAACATGAGGGGATTATTCGGCACCATAGTTTGAGTTACTCTAAAAGCAAAGCTAGAGAAAATGACTTGGGAGCCAGTAGTTTATTTTGGAGGGAATCCTGAGAAGTAGGAATGAGGGATGAGAGAGAGAAGGGAAAAAGAAAAGGTGACTATTGTAAACAGCAGGGGCTCAATTCTTTGGGACCACTGAGAAGTATAAGGAATGCCTTTCAAAACTATCTCTCTGAAGGATGGGAGACTGGAACATTTGTCCTACCTGCTGTCCCCCATTCATTTAGGGTTGCCCTGAGGGGCAGTAACTGCCTCTCAATTCTGACTGTGCTCCTTCAGCTTCAGCAAAGGCCCCGAGGCACAGACTGAGAGTTTACAGTGAATGATTTCTGCAGAACACCATCAGTGTAAATCTGAGCCTGTGTAAAACTGTATATTCCATCTGAGGCTGTAATCAGAGGTGGTCCAAAGAGGCATGACATGGGTACCAAAGCATCTTCTACAGTCTGTCTTTCGCACCACTCAGATCTGTTTATGCTCCATATTAATTGCACTGTTACTCTTTAACGGCTGGCCCCGGTCTCTCAAATATCACTCCAAAGGAGGGTTAGTGGGATAAGTTAACTCTGATCTTGAGGCTGTAATTGATCTTACCTATGGGTTTTTGTTTGTTTGTGTGTTTGTGGCTGGCCAGTAACAGGGATCAAACCCTGTAGTCGATATTAATAATCTTCCTTCACTACACCCCATCCTAGATTTCCCTCACCTTTGGTCAGTGCTATAGTTGGCCTAGGTTGCTTGCCAGACGAGATAACTCTGACTTTTATCTCTAAGGAATGAGACTCCTTGGTGTCTTGTAATTACCCATTCACAGTTAATCCCAGGTATGGAAATATCAAGGGATACCCTAGTGAATATCCTGGGTTCCAGATCTATTTTTTTCCTGCCCCAGTTATGTACCAGCCATCCCTTTTCATGATAACCACAATTTATTGCCCTACCAGTATAGTAACATTTCTCCCCCAAGCTGTCCCAACAACGTAAGGATCCCAATGCAATCTAATGACAACCATAGCTTCAGGTCCACTGGAGGCTTTAGCATCCCCTGGAGAAATTATTTTGCCCTTTTCCCTATGAAGCAGAACTCTAATCTAGAAGAGTCAAAAGTTGCGAGTACATTATACAAGTGATTCACTGAGATTCATTGTGAGGGACATGAATCCTGTTTCTACTCTTTGGTTTCTAGCTCCATGCATTCTAGCTATTGGGTACACAGCTGTACACAGGTACTGGCCAATGGTTCAATGCATACATTGTAACCTGGAAGACAGTGTACCCATTCTGCAGGGTGTCATTCCTTAGTTGATGCCTTAGCTGAATCTCTAATACATTATCCCAACGATCTGTTTTGCTCTCTCCTTTCAGGTAATGCATTACATGGAAGGAGCAGCAGATCCTATGGCCATGTTCCCATTGTTGCATCTGCCCTGTTAACAATCTTTTGGGGTCTTAAGCCTTTGCTCATTCTGTTACCCCATATAAAATGTTCTACCACCTTTCATCTACCCATCTAACTTTCTACCCAGTTTTCTATCCAACTTCCTAAACTCTTCTCTGTCCTTCCATAGGAATTTTTTTTAATACTCTACCTAATAGTTTTTTATTTCTCTAACTCTATAGAATTTTCTCTCTGCTCTAGTTTCTTGGCACTTTACCATAAACTTGTTAATATTATGATTCAACCATTCACATGGTTATATTTTATTTTTCTCCAAAACCAAGTTCAATACTCAACATGTATATGTATTTTTTGTGTGTTAATGAAAATTAAATTCAAATTCATTTCTAATGGAGTATTTGAAAATGAATTTTACAAAAGGCCATATGTGAGCTCTAGATTTATATACAGGTGAAAATGTCATATTTACCATTAATGTTCAGAGGAAGAAACTGGTTGCTAGGGACATAAAATGTTACACACGACCCCTGATATCAAAGTGGAGAGAAGGAAATATATTAAATAGTAAATGGGAGATGTTAAATAACTGCTGTAGAGAGTAGAATGCAGTTGTAGACAGCACACAGATTTTGGTTAGAGACAGGTCTGGATCTAATCCTGCCCTTGACACTTAATAGTTGTGTCATGCAGTGCAATGTACCTAACCCCTTCAAGCCTCTGTTTCACTATCCACAAAATGAGGATGATGATAATATCTTATGTCTAGGGTTGTTGTGAGGTTTAAATAGGATCATGTATGTAAACTGCTTAGCACAGTACTTGGCACATGATGAGAACTCAAAATAATCCCAAGCAATCTATTGCTGACAAATGTTATAAAAGGAAAGAACAGTCATTGTGCATTGGGGTAGTCAAAGAAAGCTTCACCGAGAAAGTGGGATTTTAGATTACAAATAGAGAAGGTAAGAGCATTCTAATAAGAAGGATGCCAGCAGGAAATATATAAAAGTGAAAATGCACATGTCAAGTTTGAGAAAAGATGAGTTGACTAGTTTGGTTAGATAGAAATAATGCTGGTTGAATTTGAAGGATTTTATTTTGTTTTGTTTTGTTTTAATGTCCATGGGTTGTTAAGTGTGCTAATTAATTTATTTTTAGAAAGTACAACAATTCAGAATCCCTTTCATGTAGTTTTAATCTTAAGAGGAAATCATCTTTCAACACAGGACTTCCTCTGACATTCCCAGTGCTCTAAATTGATTGTAAACTTTCATACAAGAGTGTGGAAAATTGAGACAGTACCCTTCCAGTGTAACCACCCCCAACATCTCATATTCCTTGTTTTAACTCTGAAGTCATTGTTTAAATTGTAAAACACAGCATCTACGTCCTTATTGTGTTGTGGTTAAAGAAAAGTTAGAGATTGTTGGGGGGATCCTGTATTTATTCAGTCTGTACAATTTTTCACAGATAGATTTTTCTTTACTTAGCTTGATGTCTTTTGGTGTCTATTGAGAATGATTTTAGTTTAACATGATTCTCTGTGGCTGATTTCACGCTTTCATGAATTCATGCCAAAACTTCTGTAATTTCCCCAATCAGTGAAATATTTTAGAGATAATGTAAAAAAAAAAGGTCCTATGATATGGGAGAATTCCTTCAACCCAAGTTGCTTTCATCCTCAGCCTGAATGCAGCAGAAGTGTTTAAGTTGTGCCACGTTACCCTAAGGGAAAAGAATTTGAAT